AACTCGAGTTCTGATTGGTTTACATCACTCTCAAAACACCACACTATGCGCCAACAATGATGAAACGTCACAAACTGTTGCCATATTTATTTAAAAGCTTTTGGAATTCAAATCTACCAAATCACTGAATTTGACACTGTGGGTGATTAAATGCGCATATCATGAAACTAATTCCGATAGCGCTTCAAAATTGTAATTTGTAATTCCGACACCCTGTGCTGGAATACGACATCCTGTGTGTCGTAATTCTGACACCCTGTGTCGGAATTAGTTTTTGTGTCTAAAAACGTCTCTTAAATCAATCATCTATTAATTTATTTACCACTTAAAATCAGCAAATACAAGTATACCGTCAACCGGGGCTACTCGGGACACTTTTGAACGTTTTTCATTCATAACTTCTTACCATGAAACATTTCATAAACAAATTTAGGCTCATTTTATAGCTCTTTGCGAGGGCTATCGAATGGCATCTTCAAAAAAATTCCATATGCTATTCGTAAGGTGCCAGAAGCAAAAAAAAAAAGTGTCCCAAGTAGCCCTGTCGAACGGGACTACTCCGGACACTGGGAATAAATCTTCATTTTAAGATATTTGAAGCATGCAGAGCGTACTCATCCATTACTAACAGTACTCTGAAGTCCTCCTCTTTCATTGTAGATGATGTAGAGGTAGAATAAATGACATTTTCAGTGATTTTTACTTGTTTTTCCTTTATTGATATTACCATAAACATAAATTACCATCAACTGGGGTGACTTCCCCACGTTTTTTATTTTGTTTTGCAAACAAAAACGGGGTCATAAACACCAGGGTTGTAAACAAGGTCATAAACGCCAGAGTGACTTTGGCCATCGTTTATGACCCTGCTTTTGTTTTCAAAACAAAATAAAAAATGTGCCGAAGTCACCCAAGTTGACGTACTGTATTATTGATGTGATATTACTGTATTATTGATATGATATTACCCTATCCATGAACATGCCATTGAGCATTTACAACAACCTTGTCCACTGCAAGCTTCATATCAGCAGCCATGTAGCATTTCTTCTGTATCTGTAAGCTTACAGGACGGCTTGTAATTTCACACCATTTTAATTGGGTTGAGTGAATTTACTATAAAAAAATATAACTCAGTACTCACTGCAGTGAGTGACAGAGAGCGCATTTTCTCGTCGACGAAAACTTGAGGTCACAGACAAACGGACAGACAGACAGACGGACATGGCAAGCACAATAGTGCTCGTTTATGCGCCATGCGCTCGTTTATGCGCCATTTTAATTGGGTCGAGTGAATTTACTATAAAAAAAGATTGTGAAAAACATACCTGAAACAGAAAGGAATGTTTTAGTGACAACCATCATATATTTTGGAGAAATAAATCATAGTTTAGGTCAATTACTTTTCATTCTATGATTCCCGGTGCACAATTATATATATAGCATTCTATGTACAATTTTGTGATGACCGATGATGCACTAATTTTTCGATAAGTGAAATTTTTTTCGCTGAGCGAGGTAAATGTAATCAATATTCTTTGTTATTAATCCATTTTTTTCTTGACTGGACCCTTTGCCTACTGAGGTTCTACTGTAAATGTGTTTTTGGGGGTGTCCTGAATAGCCCCGGGGGGGTGTCCTGAGAAGCCCCGCCGTGCGGAAATGGCTGCCATTTTTTTTTTTGAATGAGTTAGGACAATTCCGTCAATTACTTTTTCAAGCCGACACCTGGGTGCATCTTTAATGTAAGTAAAATTTTTTAATATGGCGAATATTTTTTTGGCTGCAGACCTTAGCAGAAGCCACTATGCAGAGGGTAGATGCAGCGTCGCCAATATATGGATTTTTAAGCCCAAAGCGTCGCCGGCCACTTCAAAGATGCGTCGCCGGATAATTTTTAATGAAAAGCCATTTACGCTGAGTAATGACGAACTAGTTACAAGCCACAAAATTATTTACAAGGTTGCATGCACGTGTTACCCCAAATAACTAATTTTACTCTAAAAACAGTCCGATTGTACAGCAAGTGTCAACTGAACATGTAATAGAGCAGTCTGACTGCTCTAATGTGACTGAAACTACGCAATCAAAAAAACATTGTTTAAATTTTTTGCGGGAACTCATCGCAACTGATTTCCGGACAAGCTTCGCTGCATCGTAATCCATCCAACGTACCGGAAACCTTACTTTTTTTCTAAATAGTTGGCCGAAGACTGAGAAATATATTGAATGCAAGAATTTCAATCTAAATGTGTCGGCAAGATCTTCTGAAGGCCAAAATTTGGCTACTGAAGCGTTGCCAAAGATCTTGCAATATTCATCCACTCTCTGCATAGTGGAGCAGAAGTAACTTTTCAAAATAGCGTTTTTCACCTTTTTATTCAGGAATTTTTCAAAGCTAGTAAATGTAGTATTTTTTGACTTCCTTTATACTACATAGATAGGAAAAATGTTGACGTTTATGCCACTATATTTAGTTTTGCAATATTCCAATTAGTTTTGCTACTATAATAGTTTTACGCCATGTCGGAGGACTGTCCCGAGTTACCCCGCCAGTCCTGAGTAGCCCCGGTTGATGGTACTTGAAGGATTTCTAATATATTCACAGACTTGTTTAAAAGTCTCAAACCATAATATTCTTTCTACACAAGCAGTTTATCACTATTTAGTAAAGCAGGGTCAACTATTGACTTTCATATGTTTCGATGTTTCCACTAGCTGACATGGACTTTCACTCTGCGGATCTTAACATTTTCTGCTAGACCTAGTGTTTTGCGGAAATGTTGCATGCAATAGTATGACATCACTATTTCAACCATCTACGCATGTGTGGAACTAACCCCAAGCTTAATACAGAGGAAAAGGTTGAGAGGTGTCAGAATTACCCACAGTGTCGGAATATGGTGCGTTTACCCTAATTGGGCTAACGTGTAAAACTAAGGCGAGCATTAAACGTGAAAAGTCTCAGAAAAGCTCGTGAAACATAAATGTGTTAAATACCTCTATAAATTTATTTTTGGCAAGAAATTTTAAAGTTCTAGGTAGTTCTGGCAAGAAATCATCAATGATGTGACAGCACTTTGGGTTTGGGCCCAGGGCACAGAGGGTGCAAGCAGCATTGCCAAGATATGGTTTTTCAGCCAAAAGCGTTGCTGGCCATTTTCAAGATCCATGGGTAAGTAATTTTTAATAAGAAAGTGCTGCAAGCAACTTTGATGGTATATCCTTTACTATCCACGCACCAAAACACTTACGAAAAACATAACTGATTTCCAGACAAACTTCACTGCATCCTAATCCTTCTGGCATACTGGAAACCTTACTGTGTGCGCTTGCGGTCCTTCAGATTTCCAGTAATTTCTAAGTTATTTCTCATATGCTGTATGCAATAATTCAATCCAAAAGTGTCGGCAATATCTTCAGAAGGCGTAAATTTGGCTGCCGATGCATCACCAAAGATCTTGCAATATTCACCCACTTTCTGCACAGAGGCTTTGGGCCTGAAAACCTGATCTAGGTTTATGTTAAACTTTACATAATTGCCACTTTGCCAGACACTGCATATTGGAATAATTGGAGAGCAATGAAATAGGATAAAACCTAATTATCCTGTAATTTTCTAACTCTCTCAATAAAGTTAATTCATAGTTGGGTTAGAAAGCCATTCTGGACAATTAAGCAAGACTCAGGGGCCTAGAGCCACATGTGAATGAGTCAAAAACAAAAACTCCTGTGAATGCAGTAAATTTAAGCATTTCACTTGTCTTTTTTTCCCTTGCGTAGTTCATTTCATAAAAAGTTTCAGAATTATGAGCTCAAATATGCAGTTGTTGCAATATTTGGTTAAAAAGTTGGCAGTCTAGTGAGAATTTTATGGCTCCAAAATTAGTTAGAAAGCTCTTGACTCTAGTTATGGCTTGGAAGTAGATAGACATTTTCCATATCTTTCAATCAAACCTAGACAGTTTGAGCAGTACATAGAGGCATTCTTCTATTTATGAATATGAATCCATTTAATTTTTGTATGAGTAAATCTTTATGGCAATGTAATGAAACTTCAATTACACATGATTTATTACTTCACCTGCCACTTGTCATTAAAACAAGTAGTACTTGTCAGAACTATGAATTGTAGAGTTTGATTGGCACACAGTAACTAGAAGCCATTTTTATCTAGCTGAAAAGTTGTGGTACAGTTTTATTTTTAAAATTATTCCTCATTTTAGGCTGGTGCATGTGCTGTGGCAAACAAGTAGCATTAACATATATTGAATACATTTATCAATCAATAAAAATATTTTACAATAATTTTCAAGCAAGGCCTCCAATTAAGCCTGTTACAAGATGACTAAACATATGACTGAACATCAAATAACCTAAGTTCAAATAATGTTCTATCCAGAATAAAATTGAGGCTCGTGCATGCGTGTTAACATGAGTGTTTTGCCCTCATAATGGATGCAAATTACATATGTTAAACCAATAGTCCCACAGATTGTTTAAACTCCCAATATTCAATAATAAAGTTTTCAAATGAATTGCAGTTGAAGAATTATATAATTAAATATGGTCAATGTTGAAGAATTTTAAAATCATTAAAACTTGATCATTAGAATACAAAAAGAGACTATTTAACTTGAACTTACTTCAATTTCAATGAGTAACTTTGATTTATTTAATAGATATTGCTACTTCAGTCATTATATAAACCTAAAAATTGCGTTAATTTTGTTGTCAGAGTCAAAACATTCATTCATATAAATGCTTGCATTTTAATATATTGAGTGTGGTAGAGGGTACTATGTATGAAAAAATGGGCAGAAATAATAATTGGTATGAAAATGTAGCCTCAAGTGTAAACCTGTTACATAGTGGGCCTTATCAAAGGAGATTTTTACTACTAAAGTGTCAAGAATTTGGTAGACATCGACACAATCTTTTGTTAAACTATCTTCTTGCCAATTCATGATCGATACTTTTGTGCTAGAATAATGAAATAGGATTTATCACCAAAGCAATTTATTTTTCAGACTGCCTGATTTATTTTTCCTACTTTGCTTAATTTTTATCCGCAACATGGCGAGCAAGCTGGAAATGAAGAAAAGTCGCATATCACTGGCTGACACTTACAGAAGTCTGCTGGCTAGAATATCATCAGACCAAATTTTCTATGCTCAAATTGCTATCACTGTCATCTTTGGGCTACTCATTTTATGTAAGTAATTAAATCTTGAGAAATAGTAGCATATTTCATTTATCTTTCTCAAAATGTTTGTATCTTGACAAAAATTATGTAACATATGGTTTTTTATGTATTGACGCGGTTCTTCTTCCAAGACTTCTTACAACTTGCAATTGTTGTTGATACTTGGATTGCAGTACCTTAAATTTGATAATTTTGCCCAGATTTGCTGACGCGTCGTGTGGTTCGGTCCGTGGGTGGTCGAGGCCGCAGCATTGTGCTTGTTGGGAACTGTGAGGCTGGCAAGACAGCTTTGCTCTACACTCTTACAAGAGGCCAAACTCCCATCACCGTTACCTCTTTCAAGGACAATGAAGATCTTTATAATACCGGCAATGTGAGATTCAACTTTTCAAGGAATGAATACCTAAGCCTCCAAAAATACCTGATAACTCTTCCCTCCCTTAGTATCCTTAGTATGTGTTATGGAAGTAGGTAGCAGTCCTAGGACACAATGGATTACATCCTCCAGATATTTTTCATTTTTGACATATTCATGAAGATAACTACTTTTAATCTAAAAGTTACGAGAGATATATCAATTCATTTTTTATAATTTTTTTACAACTTGAAAATGAAGTTTTTTAAAATTTAACTTATAAAATTAGTCGATATTGAGACAGCAAGATCTGACTTCCCATAGCAAAGTAGCAACATGTGTTTTTAATTGATTCATACTTAATTATGTAAAGTCTTGCTAAATTTTGTGAAACCAGTTCCTTTGGATGAGAGCAAAAAGTCTGTAAAAGACCCATTGATGAATGCCCATCATTTAAAATATACTCAGTATCAAAGATTGATAATTATCCATGATGCTACAGGGTCTGCCATATTTATGGCAACACATGTTTTTTGTTATTTCTCAATGAAACAAACAGGTGTATTGTTTTGTTATTGGATGAGCTAGTAGCCAAGAATTACCTAACCAATTCTCTGACATACTTATTTATTCAAAATGACCACCTTTAATAGCGCATTTTCTCATTTATGGAAAAAATGCACTAGTGTGCTCACCATGCCCGTCTGTCTGTCTGTCCGTCCGTCCGTGACCTCAAGTTTTTGTCGAAGAGAAAATGCGCTCTCTGTCACTCACTGCAGTGAGTACCGAGTTATATTTTTTTTAATGGCGGCCTCCAATCTACGTGGGAAAGCTTCACAGGAGACACGCAGCATTTCTTGATGGATCAAGTCCCATTCTCGTGTCAATTTAGACTTCAAACTATCCAAAGAATCATGAGGTGTTCTGCAGTCACTACTCTCTAAAATAGCCCACACAGAAAAGTCGAGAGGATTCAAATCAGGTTTTTCTTGAGGGCCATTCATTTTTGCTAATAAACGCTGGGATGTAACCTTGAATCCAGTTTTGGGTCATGTTTGAGCCATGTGATGAGGCAGAGTCTTGGTGAAAACTCCATGGTGAGCCGTTGAAGTGTTTATGGGCCCAAGGTAACAACACGGCTTCCAAAATGTCCAAAATGTATAGCTTACTGTTCAATTTCACTACTGAGGGGACAAAAACGAGTGGGGACCTCCCAGCGGCGGTTACCGCGGCCCAAACCATCACGGACATTGGATTTTGATGCCGTGTTGCTGTTCTGGTTGCCACAGATCCATCCCGACTCCAAACTCTCTCATTTCGATAGTTGACGCTTTGTTCAATGTCAAATTTTTTATCGTCACTGAACACCAAGTTGGGCAGCATGCCATCGTCAATGAGATCCAGAATGTGCTGGCATCTTTCGAGCCTCATTCGTTCATGACGGTCTGTTAGTTCGTGCCTTGTTTGCATCTTGTAAGGAGAGATTTTGAGGACTCTACACATTGATGTCTGACTGACTCCTGCTTCTGCAGCCAATTTTGCAGCTGAGCGATGAGGGTTTCTCCTCAACTTCTCCCTCATGTTTTTGACAAATTATTTTGTTCGGACACTTAGTTTCCTTCCTTGCCCAGGTCGATTGCATGTTTCACCAGTTTCCTTGAATTTTTTTTACCACCTTCCACACAGTTTCACGACAAATTTGGAGCTTTTTTGCAATGCCTGAATTACTCTCTCCCTTTTCATGAAGGGTTACAATTGCATTCTATCTACTGCCATAAGTAATAGTAAATTTAGACACCTTACACTTCTGCAATATAAAGTAGATGAATTAATAGATGATATTTAGCTTCATTATAAAAGAAAAGTCTCCTAGAAACCAATTTATTTTTATATAGCAAACACCCGTTGCCATAAATATGGCGGACCCTGTATATGTGCACACAATCTTCCATGCTGAGAGGTTTCTATGAAATTTATACTTCAATTTTCATCCATCTCTTTATCTCCTATGCATTAATGTACAATGTTTTTGAACCCAATTCTTTGGATTATTTAACACTTGATTTATTTACAGTGGGTGCCATTGACATTCCATCCCATAATTTGATGAGTGTTTGCACTTATGACTTAGTAGTTAATGCACCTAATCATGAGTAGGTGTTCTAGACTCTAGGTGTGTATTTTATTTACTTACCTTGTGCAGAAAAGTGTCCGTGTTGTTGATGTACCTGGTCATGAGCGGGTCCGGTCCAACGCATTTGACAAGCACAAGTCTGATGCTCGTGCCATCGTCTTTTTGCTAGACTCCACATCATTGGGCTCTCAAATCAAGGACGTTGCTGAGTGAGTTAATGCCATTTGATATTGCCTTCTAATTTCATGAATAACCTCATTATTTAATACCATTTAATACAACCACCTAAGTTGCAAATATAGAATAAGAATTGCCTGGTCAATTAATAATGCAATGATACATTAGCTGAAACTTGGATGTAATGTTATTGAAACCGATCTTTAATTTGAAACTGTGTAGTTTTCTTTATTAAGGGGTGGGGGTAGGGTGAGAGCTGTGACAGATGTCTAAGAAATGTGAATATAAAAAGGCGTAGATATGTCTGGAAAACCAAGGTAGTCTTCTGGTGTACCTTATGCCTATGTAACTATACTTTTTACAGAAATAAGGAAACCCTTGACTTACTTGGCGCTACCTGAGTACAGGTCACAGTATGTGAGTGAATTTATGTAGGCTGGTTTTTGCATCTCCGTAGTCTCCTTAAAATTGGAGCCTGACGTCTCAAATAAGCCAGTCTTGCAGATTGTCTTCTCTTCCATTTATGCATAAACTGTTCGTTTTTCTCCAATTCATGCATTAATTATTTGCCTTGATTGATTCATCAGCCGTGTCGTGCTACAGGTTGTCGATTGACTTATTTTTTATTTTCGGTTCAAGATGGTTGTTCTGAAACGCCAATAATATTTTGGATAAGTATGCAAATGTTTCATAAATTTAAACTATTCGAATTCAGTTGAATTATTTTACAGGCAACTCTTCACTGTCTTGAGCGACTCCGTGGTGCAAGGCAACCGCTGCCCTGTGGCTGTTCTCTGCAACAAACAAGACCAAGACTTGGCAAAGTCTGCCACTATCATCGAGCGCGCTCTTCAAAAGGAGTTGTGAGTCTTGATGGAAACTCGCTTATTGAGTTAAATTCGGACGATAGTGGACAAGATTGAATATTATTGCTACTGGGAAGATACTTAAGGTTCATTCTTTTCTTAAGCGTCAGATTCCTGGAAAATACTTGAGTTATATAATTGTGGTCGTAATTTCAGTTGACAGCATGCATGTATTATCGTCAATATTAAGCATCCCAAACTTCATATCGGCCTTAGAGTAAACTGTGAGAAATTCATCATTCCTCACCGCCACTTTGTATGTAGACTAGGGCGTTTTTATTCGATCTATAATTAGCTCAAAATGTTTTAAATCCGCCGTACTAACTTCATCCGAAGAATAAGCAGGTATTTAGTCTATATCAGGGGTTCTGAAGCGGCTCTTAGAAGAGCCAAGATCAGTAATCAATTACATCGGACCTCAGTTGCCACCAGTGAAAGCATATTAAATTGTTCAGTCTTGACGCATGCTCTAATTTCATTGTGATTCATTCCTTAAAACTCGAAACTTGAGTGAAGATTGCCCTTCTTGAAGCGTTTGATAACCAACCTGCAACAACATCTAAGTATTTCTACCATCTTGCTGTAAACCTGCTTCTCTATTCTTAGGTTTTGTATGAATGCTTTTTTAAGTTTTCTCTATTTTTTTTTGGTTTCATAAAATTCATTCGTTTAATCTGTTGGGAAATTGGACTTAGTTTATGGCTTACAACTCTCAAAGTAATTAAAATAAAATGTTAAAGCTCATATTTAAATACTAGTGAAATCAATTCGCCAGATTGTCAAGTGTTCTTTGCTGAAAAATTCGGGTATTTTATTACTTTACCTGCAAAGATCATTTATTATATCCTAATCCTAAGTGTATATATCAATATCTAAAGCAGAAAAATATCTTGCTATTCTGTCTACTTTTCTCGCCCCCTACTTCCCACCCCACCTACTTATTTCTACTAATTCCCTCAAATTATTTTTCCTACTAAAAGTGTTCAACAGACTGAGCATTAAAACATCAGTATCCAGTAATCTAACTTTAGAGACTGTGAGCGGCTTAAATTTTCTTTCCACGTAACAATGACATCAACCCGTATTATTTAATCAGCTACGGACATGCTACATAATCATTTACGATCTTCAATCACTGACAATCAGTTGAAACTATAACTTGAATATTTGTTGAAGCTGCTCTTTATAATTGATTTGCAACATAAAAGATTTGAACACAGATTTAATTAACATCCATTTCATTACTTGCGAAAGTGAGAAAACATCACCAAACGCTGATGTTTCATCTTACAGTTGTATGTATAGATTTTCATTTATTTTTTATGCCTAACAAAGGTTTGAGCTATCATTTAATATTCGAAAAACTTTAATTTAAACAGTTCAAAGGTATGATCAATCCTAACAATAATTTTTTCTTCAGTGATGTTCTCCGTGAAACTTCAAGCAGTCGTCTTGCTTCGATCAGCAACGACGGCAACCAGCGCCCCAGCAAGCCTCTCGGCGTCACAGGAAAGCCTTTTGCGTTCTCACAAGTTACCTACAATCCAGTGACGTTCATGGAGACATCCGTTGTGGAGGATAAGAGCCTTGCTAACCTCAAGCGCTGGATCGAAGCTGTAGCTTGAAATATTTCGGAAATAGGACCTGCATGTTTGAAAAGGAGTTGACAGTGGGAAATGGTGTTAAGCAATTAGAAAGTGTTGAGCCAATGGAAAAAGTGTTGAACAATTTGAAATAATGCTAACATGTTAAGCAAATGGAAATTTTGTTGAACAATTCTTTTGCATTCTAAGTTTTTTTTTTTTTTTTCTTGCTTACCTTGAATAGGGAACCTGAAATATTGCATTATTCCCTGATTAATTTGGCATTGATTCTAATTAAATTCATCCAGTTGAAGAGTCTGAGTAATGAAACAATTAAGAAATTAATTACACGAAGACTCTTGCTCTTGTTAGTTTCAATTCAATTTGTTTGAACATTCGTGAAAAATCCAGATTTATCATTGTGCTGAGGGAGCATTTGTGGTTAAATTTGCACTTGGCTGTACATGAAACCCCAACAAAGTCATCAAATATAAAATTATTGCTTCGTAGTCAATGGGAATACGGATGCACCAGATGCTCAAAACCACAGATTTACAAGCTCCTCGATCGATACGAGTAGTTGTACGGTAGATGACGTCTTATCAAGCTTTGTATAACCAATTCCAAAGCTAAAAAAACTGATGTCCACTGCATTTTATACGGATATTTAAAACAACCGATACTCCCGGAATCCTGTAGAAACGAGTGCAATTATGGTATTAATTGATTTACACCAACTAGGGATCTGGCCTCTGATTCTACAATTTCTTATTGATTCTGGCCTCAATTTTCAAGTGGTCAGGGGGCTTCCGGTGTCTAACAAAAGTGTGATTTTCACGTTTTTGTATAATTTTTTTTCACCTTGGCTACTCAATGAATTAATTTTTCACTAAAATATTTCAAACTTGAATTTCCGGCTGCTTCTGGCGTTTGTGTATAAATTTACTAAGTTCTGTTTGTTTAAAAACGAGATACTCGTCTGTGATGATTTTTATTTCACTATCAATACATTAACGCAATAACGCAAAAAGTACTCCAAAATTAAACCGAATTACATAAATTATAACCTAATTTTAACCATTAAACCACTACCATGAGTCACATTTTCTGAATGATTGTAGTACCGGTACTTGCATTAAAAAAAATAACTTAACAATCGGTATTTAGGCATACAAATTAACTTAGAACCTGCGAAAAGCTTCCAGTTGGTCACTCACCATTTAGGAAACGTCTGCTGGCAAGCCCGAGTGCGTTTATTGTTCAATTCTCCTATGATAAAATTGATGTATGATTATGCACTACTCAAGTCGTATTTAAAACAGATCTCGCAGTTTCGTAGTTGGCAATGGCTCGTCTCATCGAGGAATAATTGACATTTAGAGCAGGATAATTATGTGCCAGAAAAATTGTGATTATTTGTACGTTTTTAATTTTTTTTTTCATCAATAAAAATAGGATAGTATTGCCCCGTTGCATATCAAATATTTTCATCCTGAGTCCAATCTTCTCTGTAAGTATTGCGCTCAGGAGCAACTATATTGAGGCAGACGTCAGCAAATCGTCTGAAGTCTCTATTTTCACGCAGCCAGTTGTCCAGCAAAGGAGCTGCTTCGGGTCCTGTGGTGCAAGACGCCAAGTCCTGCAGCTGCGATCTTAGGTCCTGACTCTGGAGTAGTGTCCTTAATTCCGAACTGTTACCTGCACACGACGGTTCATAATGAATCTTCAATGCAAAGGAAAGCAAATTACATGACTGGATCTGTAAATTTGTGAAAAAATTATAAATATTGTTTAAACGGAAGTCTGATCGAATGATTTTCATATCTCATGAAGCATTTGTTCTGCAATTAATAATTTCTCACATATATAATTATAAGAGTCAAAACATATTATAATTTAATGCTTTATATCGATTTGCATGAGCACTTGATATCATAAATGAGCACTTCATTCCATATATTTAATCTAGAGACAAGATACTAGGCGCTCTCTAATGAAAAGACTTGCGTAGTTCCTCCAGTCTATCAGGTGGCACAGTATCTTGAGTTGGCAGTAAAAGCTTCTCCATGTGGACAGGGGGAGCTGGAGTTGCTAATACTTCGGGGGCTACATCTATCAATGAAGATGGATTTTTTCCTGGGTTTGAAGCCATTTCTGAAGGCTGAGGAGTGGAGCATTTTGTGGCTGCATTACTCGTTTCACTCTTGTGAGATTTGTAGCAAGCAACACTGCAGCTGCAACAGTTAAGGAAAATTACTAAAATATAAGACAAGTGCAGTTGTAATAAAAAAAGCACTTAAATTGTTTATAACTTTATTAGAGTCAAATGTCAGAATTTCAGAAAATAAGGTGTCAGATAAGTTTGTTGCCAACAAAGAATCACCATGCAAGAGGTAGGCTAAATGTGTAACATTGAGGACTAATATATACAAGCAAGGACATTTTCAAACCTGCCCATTAAACATATAGTGACAAAATCTTGAGCCTTCATACCTATGGTAAAAAAAAAACAAGAATGATTGTGATTTGTGACTGTCTGCAATGAATTGGTAGACTTCCATTTTATCCAACCTGCATATAACTAGCAAAAATTTGAGAGTTAAAAATTTTAGTCAACATTTATATAACTAGAGATATACTATGACTATTTGAGTAGCTTAAACTGCAATTTACTCCAATATTTTGAGTTTTTAAAAAAACTTCCATCAATTGGCCACAATTATACGTTAGAATTGATCATATTTATCATGTCTGCTCACTTTAACTATAAGCCATGGTGGACACTGGACAATGTGTCAGAATGTACAAATTTGGCAACAAAGTAACATTTAATTTCAGGCCTTGCAAAGATCCAGGCAAGGCTTGTAATGTTAAATATTGTCAAGACATACTATATCAGAATTGTTCCTTTGGCAGTGTAAGAAGCTATAATGGATACCTACCCAAGGGCCAAGGCAAAATAGCAAACACCATGAAGACCAATTTGCCGCTAAAACTTAGGCCACTATGGCCTAATTTCTCTACAATATAGGGTAAAATGGTAAATTTAGATAGTTATTTTCAGAAAGTACCCAGGGGAATGATTGGTTCCATTTTACCCACAACTTTTAGACAATTGCACAATTCACCCAAATTTTACAATTTACATATTAAGTAACACATCAGCATTGAGCAAGACATCCTCCCTGAAGATATTGTTGACGCTCCCAGTATAAACACGTTAAAGAACAGACTAGACAAGGCTGTGCAGGAGCATATGTTTAGTCTTGAAATGCCTCATAACCTACGGAACAACTGAAATCTAGAAATGATTTTAAACCTACGGTCCATTGAAAATATTTGATCAAAAGGCAGTCTAGTCAAGAAAAATACAAGAATCGGCAACAGGCCTATTCTTTAATGCTGAAGATACTATACTACGACAGCACGTCACATTTTGAGTCAAAGTGCAAGTGCAAGCAACCAAACAATAACTTACTATCTTATGAGGCAGGATGGGCATTTATACTTAGGAGTGCAGCTCTCACAAATTTGACAAATAAAATTTTCTGTCATTGTGCTTAGAACCTTTGCCTAATTATATGAGCTTAATGTTTTCTTTATATCGTAAATTATTCTCAGTCAATTCTTATGATAACTAATCAGGCTGATCGGCTGAATCGTCGCTGAGCTTTGTTTACATTGTCGTTATGGCATCGGTGCCATGTGACACCAAGGGTGCGTTCCCAGTGGACAAATACACGACAATTTCCCAGCTCATGCGAATGTAACAGTTCATATACCTTAATCTTTATTGATATTCTGAATATTATTGGGAGCAACTTGGCACATAGAAGATACTTTTGAACATAAAAGCAATGTGGTATTCGTCTAACTAGCTTTTAGATGACCTGTGTGGCGTTAGCAATAGTCTGTTGTAACCAATTGTACAACGTAGGCTAGCTCAGTTCGTAATAAGCCTACACAAACTATGGTTGCACTTCTCTTTGCTCCTTCAATTCACACACAGAAGGAATGAGAAATTTCTAAAAATTTTCCTAATGTACTTTGGTTTATTGTGTCCAGATTTTAGATACACTAATAGGGCAATCATAAGCCCATTCTTTTATCTTTTAACAATCATACTAACGAGTTGCTACATCTCTACCGCGCACACAGTAAATCTGAAAGTATTTTTCTCTCTTTCTTATTTATTCTTATAGGAGCACTGGAAACTAGTCCATAAAGCCCCTTGCCTAAACTGGGTTTAATTGGTACCTAACTGTTTAACAGCTCCGAAAGTGAAAATCAGTAAAATGTGCTAAAGGGAACAGTAAAAATTCCTAAATCTGAAGGTGAATTGTTGCGGATATGATTTTGAAGTATCACCGGAAGCAAATTATTATTTGCCGATGGACACGCACTTTTGTCGGACTGCTGTAAAATAGTTTCCAAATGCTAATGGCAAGTATTATAACTAAACAAAAGATAATAGGAGCCATCCCATTCGCTGAAAAGTTTGCGTGAATTATTCTGCATGGTATAGCAGATGACATTAATTATTATCGGTCAAATAATTTGCTCAGTCTTCTATTTACAGTCACAGCAGTGGACTGAATCGACATTTCTCCGAACTCGCACGCGGACACAAACGCGTAACGAAACTTTTGCGCAACTAAACCGCTCATAAGTCTCTCAATTTTGAACAAATCTCTCTGGAATTTATAACAAAACGAGTTCTTAGCAATTAACCACTATAAACATTATAACTAACACTTGTTGCGACATTTCTTTTCGATTAAAACGAGTCCGCTGTAGAGTCTGTGAGTGAATTCGATGAAATGTTGATTCGGTCAACAATGGTCAGTGACGCAAAAGTTTCCAGTGTTTTGCTTCTATACATAACTCGCCAATCTTAAGCATAATGATGATAGCGGTTTCAGCGTTTATATATATAGTAGGCCGTAGGCCTGTCGCCGATTCTTAACATCGCAGAACAGTCACAGCATTTTGCGGTCTCGAACTCGCAACTCACTGCTACAATTCTGCTGTGCTTAACCAGCCGGCCTCCTTGCCGATTCTGACCAGAAACTGGCGCGCAGAGCTGGGATCGAACCCTCACCTCTCTGCGCCAATCCTGGTACTCTGAACTGTAACCACTGGGTATAAACCGTATAATACTGAACAGAAATATATAGGATTTATTGTTCCTGGTGGCGGTTACGGAAAGTGGTGACTCCTGCTCTGGCTCGAGTCACTCTTGACTGCCGATTGAATAATTTCTTTTTTTTTTAATAAAAATTTACTAATGCGCGTTATTAAAGCTATTCTGTAATTCCGCAAATAGCACAAACAATTTTTGCTATTTTGTTTCAGATATTTTAGGCATACAGTTTATTTTGGTAAAATCAAAATTTATCTATATTCTAAAACATCGGGTATAACTAAAATTATAAGATTAAATAATTTAATAGGGGAGTTTCTCTCTAGTATTATTTTATGAACATACAGAAAGAATGTTTGCTTGAGACCCACGTGTACAAAAAGGATATCTAGTACCTATATATATAGCGCACGAGTGTTTGTAGTAGTGTCTGGCTAAGTCGGCTTTGCACAACAAGAGGGCTGTGTTTTCTTGCTCTGCTTTCAAGAGTCGATCGACATCAGATTCTTCCCCTCTTTGCCTGGCGGCCCAGGCCCTCTCCTCTCCCGCTGCTTGCTTGGCTCTCGACTCTCAGCATGACAGTGTCTCGGTGGCCGTTGCCGAGTAAGGTTGTGCGTGTTGGTATGCATGTTTTGCATACATGACGTTGTTATACAAAAGGCTCTCGTATCTCAAGAACAAATAGACCTCAAACGCGGTGTATAATGCGCCGGAATTGCAAACTAATTCTTCTAGTGACTTTAGTGTGGACGTTAATTGCTGTAGTTTATTTAAACAAAGTGAAATATGACAAGGTAAGCATGGCTAATGTTATTACTTTTTTTCCTCTTTAGAGGCGACGAGGGTTAGTGAGGGATCTCAGCCCCATTATGCTCTGTGTCGAGGGAAAATTTATTTGCCATCCGAGGATTAAATTATTGTTTTAATCTCGCGTGGTGTCGTATTTCTAGAGCTTACCCTAGAGTTCCTCGTGCTTAGCTCTTATCGAGGCTGTCGTCCTCTTGTCGGTACACGTTTGTTTGAGTCTATTTTTATATATAATTGTTATTGTTTGCTTGAGTCAAAACTAATTTTATTATTGTTTTAATTTTTTATATAATCATGTAATTATTATAATTGTAGAGAATAATGCAACTATGCGTGGAAATAATTGACTAATTATCAAATAAGCGACTAATGTCCTGCAACAAGGATATTTGACGTTCAGTGAATAGTCTCGTAGACTGGGATTAAGATTACGGTCGCAAAATCCATTGTTTGAAAATATTTTCTTTCTCGCGTTTAAAATAGTTTATCATATGAAAGTATTTCGTTTAATTTTATAGGACTAATTTTGAAAAATTGTATTAGTAATGAATCATTAGTAATAATATACAAATAAGTTAATGCCGTACTTTTTATTTGAATTACTTCAGTGTACTCTTTACTGACTTCAGTGACATTCCACACTTATGTTGCATTTCCACCAACTTCGTCCGTCCTCAATTTTTAACCGTGATAAATCACCTCTTTGTCTTACAAAGTTTCTTTGTGCATTTTTGTGTTGAAGTCGAAGTTTTTAGACTTGCATTGCAATCAAGCTTTGATATCAGAGAGAACTTTATTTTTTGTATCATATTACACGCTGTTGACAAATTTTATATCATGTGTCATGTGCCACCATACGCTCAATTTTTAGATCAGTATCTAATGCTGTAAAAATTCAAGAGAAATGAGTGATACTTTGTCAAGATAGTTATGCACTTCTGCCTTCCGAGTGGGTCATTTTGACTCAGTTCTGCACTTTTCGCCCGCGTGTGCGTATCTTCTTGACGCAGTTTGGTCCCACAACTGAGGGTATCAGTGCTACGGCCGCTGTCTGCTCGAGCTGTAGGCAAGGAATTGAGTGAGTCACAATTTGGACAATATAGCCCATTCATTTTCTGAGTGTGTAGCTCGTGCTGTACACCGCTGTGCTACGGCCGAGCTTGCCGGTAACATAGATAAATTTTTTATTCAAGTTCCTATATCATTTTATATATTTTTTTTCTTCAAACCAACGTTAGAACAGAATAGGCTTGACAATTTCATAAACCAAGATCGATAACTTATATCATTTTCTTTAGCAAGGAATATAACTATTTTATGTTAAAACTTAAACAATAACTATCATTTATCGCTGATCATACTATATGCAAAAACCATCTAATTTAAAATTCAATAAAGAATTATCTCATATTGCTACTGATATAACATGTACCGCCCATCAGATATAACACTCGACGAAAGCAACACCCATGGGCGTATTTGTATGCCAGACACCGCAATCTATTTCTTATCTCTGCAGCTGATAACGAACAAGACTTGGAATAACTGCTTTGTTCTAAATTATAGGTTGATTATAAGTGGCCACTCAGACATCGACTGAATTGCGCTGCGCATTCTGAAGAGAAGTCAGTAATTCAGCGCCTGAAGATTTGCACTTCATGTGCTATTCCATTAGCAGCGATCGAACTTGTCTGTGAATTCTAAGTGAAGTATTCGGAGCAATGAATACTGAGCTGTGAATACTGATGAATACTGAGCTATGAATACTGATGAATACTGAGCTGTGAATACTGATGAATACTGAGCTATGAATACTGATG